TATAGCAAAAACCTCCCCAAAAAAAAAAAAAAAAAAAGATTACATAGGCCTAGGCCCAGTGTTTCTCCAGCCCCAGGTCAGAGTGGTGCTCCACAGACTAGCACCACATGGAGCCCCATTTTATCTTTGAAGACGAAAACAAACCCTCCTATAGCTGCCTACTGAACTCTGGAAAGGAGTTCCTGTTGCTATCTGGTGGTGGGTGGTGACAGGGTTTGGAGAGGGGGCCTGGAGACAGAGACAGGTGGAAGCAGCCTTAACCCCACTCTCTTGCCCCTTTGGCACCCCCAGTGCTCCGTGACATCACGCGTTTCTCTGTCTTCCTCCAGCCCATTGGCACCGTGCTTCTCCCACCTGACCCTCTGAACACACAGTGCTTTGCTGTATGCTGTTGCTGTTCTGTCGTGGGCAACATGGATGCTGTTAAACTGTCAGTGACCATCTGCTCAGTGTCCATCCTGCCTGTCACCTCTGGTCTATCTTTAGCATATTGTTTGGTTGCCACAGTTTTTTGTTTTGTTTTGTTTTTTGTTTGTTTGTTTGTTTTTGCCAGAGGAAGTGTGTCCTTTTCAGGAGGAGAGAGGGAGAAGGTGGGAAAGCACCCCTCATAGAGAATGATCATGCCATAATTCTTTCTCCTTCATTCCTTCCTCCTTTTGGAATTTTGAGCATGTAAACATACGTGCCTAGCATGTTTCTTAAGCCACCAGATCTGGATGGTGTTGTTGGATGAGGGTCTAACATCCTGGTCTAGAAACCCAAAGCAAGTCCAACTTCTTGCCACTCAACAAAAACAGAGAAGCAAAATTGTTGATGAGAGAGGAAAGGAAAATTCCCTGTGGCCACACAGGGAAGATGTAAGAATATCTTTGACTGGCCTGCCAACTTACAGGTGTTTTTGTAAGGGAACGGGGACACTACGGGGCTAATGGCTATCTATAGAAAAGTATAGCTCAGACTAATTTTTAGGCAGGGGAGGCTCACAAATAAGTAATTATTCTTTTTTTAAAAAACTCTCTAATTTTTAAAATTGTTATTGTTTTAATTTATTTTATACAACCGCTGTACACCACTATAGCTTGTAAATGAATTTACCCAACATGAATACACTTCACACCAGTCCAGTTAAAGATATCATACGCATTATCGTCAACAGACAATCCTCCATTTCCGTGTCCCTTAAATGTCCTCTTTGAGACAGGAGTTTGAGTCTTAGCTAAGGGGTACCGTCAGAGGATCCATCTTCAAAGACAGGAGTTTCAGCTTGTTGTTGGGGCAGACCATCCCTTGCTTCAGTTCCAGGATGGCTGCCTGTCTCCTTGGAGCTCCTGTGAGAATCCACAAAGAGTAGGCTGAGAGCAAAATAGTTTTTTATTTTAACAAGATGGTCAACTGGCTAAACAGGGCCTAGCCACACTGGGGGCAGCCAGATGGGATCCATCTGCCTTAGCCACCATGCCAGACTGATCAATGTTAAGTAACTAAACAGTTTTAAATAACTGCCTACTGACAGGTTGATTAATTTTGTGTTATTGCTGAAAGACACTCGTAATTTGCATAGGAAAAAGATTTTTTTTGGCGCAGAAACATAATTTGCAAAGAAAACTGCTTTGGTGAAAGCAGATGCTTCCCAAAGGACTCTTCAACCCCTCCCTTGATGTTCGGACAAGGATGTCATGGCCAAGGGAGACTCATGTGTTTCACCTGAGCACCATGATGAGAACTAGTTCACCTACAGAACTTTTTTTTATCAGTTCATCTTACTTCAGTTAATTGTCCCTCAAGCACCAGGTTTTGGGGATAAAATTCATTGAAATATTGAAATACAGTAATATTATTGAAAAGTAGTATGTGGTTATTTACGTGTCTTCAGAACCCTTTATGCAGGAGTCTGATTAAGTCTTACATTGCTTTTGCTGCAGCCTTCTTCGAGGGCTTCCTCTAGGGCTGTGAGGTTGGGAGTAGAGACTGCATTTCTTTTCTTTTTTTTTTTTCTTTCTTCCTAGAGGGTACATGTGCTCACCAGAGAGAGACAGAGAGAGGGAGAGGAAAAAGCCCCTGCCATGGGGCCTGATCATTCCACAGTCTCTTCTCTCTCTCTCTCTTTCTCTTTCCTTTTAGGATTTTGGGCACCCAGTGGTATTTCTCAAGCCCCTGCATTAGGGACTCGAACCACACAGTTGGCCACATGGGATCCAGCTGCCTTAACCATCAGGTCACAGAGCCGGCCGAGAGAGCATTTTGAATGTGAAAGAGCAGACTTGGAGAGGGGCAGGCTGAGGAGGTGGCTGGGGGTCAGAGGCTGAGTAGAGTCCACTTGCAGGTGAACACCCTGTATTCACAGACGCCAGCTACTAACCTTTCAAGGAGGCTGTGGAGAGTGCTGTCCCCATCCCTGCAGCGCCACTCTGACCCGGGCACTATTGTCCTGATACCATAAGTGATGGCCAGGGGTGTAAGTGATGTCACCAAGGTTGCAGGCCAGCCCAGGGGATCAAGGGTCCTAGTTCAGGTCTGTCTGTATCCAAAGCTCATGTTCCTGACCAGGATGCTAGGCCCCTCCTCCTCGTGGAACGAACCAAGAAAGGCTTTTTGCTCACTTAGGAAACCAAACGGGACCGCTTCTAATTTATTATCTTTTCCAAGGGTGGTTTCTCCCTAGAAATATTAAATGATGAAAGAGGATGTGAACATCCTGTTCTGAGCAACGGTCCGCAGCATTTTTTCTCCCTTGCCCTGTTTAAGGCTAACATTAGAAGTCTGACTTAAGCCCTGCACATGGTTCTTCCTCAGTCAGGGGGTCCCTTCCCTCCCTACCTGTGGCTTTCCTTGGTCAGAGGTGAATTGAGCAGTTACAGTTAAGTTTCTTTAAAAAAAAAAAAAAAAGGAATTTTTAAATCTAATTTTATCTATTCATTCATTTTATTTTAATTTGGCCAGAGAGAGACACACACAGAGAGAAAGAGAGAGAGGGAAAGTGAGAAAGCAAGCCGCCAGGTCCAGGACTCGAACTGTGGTTAGCCATGTGGGAGTGTCCAGCACCTTAACCACCATGGCACCACCACCTGCTGGTCCCTGTGACAGTTAAGCTTCTTGGCTTCCCTGAAAAGTGGCAGGGAAGGTGGGCACAGGCACTGACTCCTGAAGGAAGATGGCAGGCGAATGGGGAAGGGCTGAAGGCACCCGGCCCTGGGTCCACACCAGACCGTGCAGGCACAGCCCTTCCTGCCCCCCATTGGCTGCAGGTGGGGCAGCTAAGGGCTCTGGGCAGTTAGGGACCAACTGACAGCACCCCCGCTCTAGGTGCCAGAGACCAGCACCTTCAGAGAGGACAGCTCTGCTGGGGAATCCTGTCTGGCAGATAACCACTTGGAATTGGTAAACCAGAGCCCTCGGCTAGATGTTTAGGGCAGTATTTAAATTATAGCAGGACAGCCTGGGGATGGTGACAAAGCTGTGTGACTACAGAGCAGCAGAGTCTTGTGCACCATGCCAGGGCTCAGTGAGGCATGCCCAAGGGCAGCCAGCTACGAACCAGGGTGTCCAGCCCAGGCTGACCTTGGCCTTCTTTGGCCGCTTCTTCCTAAGGAGGTGGAGAAGGCTTCTGGCTGCTGCCAACCTGCAGACAGGGCTGGCTCCTGCCTGCTGTGTTGTGCCCTGATCTGGAGCCATCTTTCTGCACACCCTGCAGGGCCCCTGACCTCTCTCGGGGTCCAGCTCACTAGAGGATGCCTCTCTGGTCTCAAAGGCATTGAAAGGGCTTGTGGTTCCCCTAAGGGCCACCACTATGACCACAAGATCCCCCTCTCCACTCTCACTCACACCTAATGGAACAGTTTACCTAAGCCATGTGTGGCACAAAACCATTATTAAAGAAACCACCAAGCTAGTGGGCAGAGGGAGTGAGTATGGCCACCAGGACAAGGGACATAGAGGTGACCTGCCCCTCAGTTTCTCCTACAGGCTGGCTCCAGCTGTCATATGGCACTCCCTAAAAGCATCAGTTCCTCTTCCCAGGGAAAACCTGAGATCTGCTCACGCCCCTTGGTACTCACCTCTGCACCCAGAGGTCACATTTCTTGGCCTTATGCTAAGTGTGGTGTTCAGCATCATGGATGTGTGAGCAGCGGCCCTGCATGCAGATGGGGAGACCAAGGCAGGGGCTGCGAGTGGCTTGCTTGCACGGCCTATTGGTTGTCAGGTTCCCAGGCTACAGTGTCCTTTTCACCTGACTTTCAAGCGAGCACTTCCTCTCTGGTCCTGCCTGCTAATTCTGTGACCAGGTTGGTGGTTGGTGTTTTTTATTTTTATTTTTGTTTTTCTTTCTTTCTTTCTTTCTTTTTTTTTTTTTTTTTTTTTTTTTTTTTTTTTATTTATGTTTTTTTTGTAATTAAGGTATGATTTGCACCTGATCAAGTGCACGAATCTTTAGTGTCGTCTCCTAGGTGTGACCCTTCCAGCTCCCAGAAAGCTCCTGTGCCCTGTCCCTGTGGTTACCTTCCTCCAGGTAACCATGATTCTCACCTCTTTCCCAATGGATTTGTTTGTCTGTTCTTGAGCTTCAGATAAATGGAGTCATCTTCCTGTCTGGCTTTTTTTGTTAAATACTGTTTGTGAGCTTCACCCTTATGGCTGCATGTACCTGCTACGTGCTCTTTTTCACTGGTGTGCAGTGTTCAGTTGCTTGTCTGTCCTCCCCTGGTGGCTGCTGACAGAGGACGGCAGGCAGGCTCCCAGCTGGGTGCCGTGTACCAGAGCTGCACCTCCAGCATTCTTGCCTTGGTGGCTATGTGAGTGCTCACACTAGCTGTGTGCTCAACTGTTCCACCATCATGTCAGCTCCCACAGGCAACATGTGGGCCCCACAGGCAGGCTTCGCCTGGAGCCTTATTTCTACTTCAGAGTGTGGCACCCTGAAGAAGATGGCTCCTCCAGTGCACCTGCGCTGAGCCTCACCATCTCTCCTTGCTTCTGTCTCCTTCTCTCCCATTGCATCCCAGGGTGAGCTGCACAAGGACTGCGCCACGTGGGAAGAGACTAATGTGGGACTCAGCCTGAGCAGCCGAGCGGGGTCCACATCCCCCCTCCAGCTCCTGGACAATGAGACTGACTGTGGCTGGGCCCCGTTTGGTGAGTGCTGCATCAGCCCACCCTGCTCATCCTGTGCTTTCAGGGTGCTCCAGGCCCTGGTGTTCTTAGCAGCAGTGATGTGGACCTCAAATGTCACCCATTCCCACAGCAGCTCTCTGCTCCCAGTGGCCACTTGGCTGCCATGTGTCTGCAGAGCCTGTGCACAGCGGTGCTGCTGCCTGGAGTAAGGTTTCTCAGTGCGGAGATCTGTGCAAGATCACTCCATCTGGGTTTGTCAGATGCGGAAGTCAGGACTTGCAGAACGTTCATCTGCAGATGAGAGGAGAGAAATCACAGGTCCTGGGTGGGATGCTGAAAGAAAGCCAAGTCTGGGTTATAGCAGGAAAGGTCATGTGCTCACCCACTGTGCGCCGTGGTCATTCCCCCATCACATGATGTGTGTGCAGTGATTACTGAAAAATGCAGTGACTTCATTTTCCTTAGTAAGAAGCTTAACAGAAGACATCCTCCCATGTCTTCTGTGTGCAGACCCTCCCCGTCCTTGTTTTCTGTGTTCAAAACCACCCTTCTTCACTTTCTGCCTGCCTCAGTGTAGAGAACAGATATTGTGTGTTTTCTATCCCTGCTCCAGAACATGAGCTAGACGGTACTGAACTTTACCTGTTGGTCTTTAACTCTGTAGATAAGAACAACTATCAGCAGTTGCTTGGGGCCCTGGATTACTCCTTCCTGTGTGCATATGCCATCGGGATGTATCTGAGGTAGGTCTGCCGGAGTTCTCCAGACCCTTCCTGGTTGTCTAGTTCATCCAGCACAGGTTTCAGCTGTGCAGGAGGACCCAGGAGGCAGGAGATAGGCCACTGCTCCCTTAGAGACAGAGGAGGTAAAAGCCATTGTGGTGCTGTGTCTGCAGGTAGGACCTTGCAGCAGAGGGCTTAGAGCCCCAAATGTTCTGCTTATTGGACACATTCTGGCTCCGCTCCCTGCCCTGAGGTGTGTCTGCACCGCACAGCCTGCCGATCCTGGGCTGCGGTCCTTCAGGAGCAGGGTGCTAGATGTGCCACACGGTGCTCAGCAGAGCACGCCCTCTCCTGTGCTTCCAGTGGCTGCCATCTGTTTACACATCCCAAGTGATTAATTAGTTCCACCGGGTGCTCAGACAATTGAAGCAGCGTGCACTGGACACCTTGGCCTAGATGTCAGCCTGGCCCCAGACAGGGCCCTGAGTGTAGCAGAGGTGGCCTGGCTGGTGGGTGGGGCATGAATTCCAGAGACAGACAGCTTGGATCGAAGTCCTACACCACTTGCTGTGTGTGGTCTTGGACAAGCACTGTATGCCTTTGGGTCTCAGGTTCTCCTTTGCAAAATGAGGGGCATAGTAGTTCTGCATCATAGGGTTGTAGTGAGAAGTAGGTGAGTTAATGCATGGAGAGACACATGGGATATTCCAGCCCATCCTGAACTGATCTGAGTGGGTGGTAAATGTTATCTGGCTTATTGGACGTGCGGGTGGCTAATGGGACATGGATATTGTGTCAGTTCAGCCAGGTTTCAAAAAGCGTTGTAGGGACTAAGGTCTTTCATTCCTAAAGACTTTTGTTCAGAGACTAGGAGATCTTTAGAGGGTTGAGAATTTCAGGGATCCCTGTGAACATGTAGCTTCTTCCCTGAGGCCCACCCAGAGTTTGGGATGATAAAGACCTGGGCCTGCTCCCTGGCTCAGGGCCCTCGCAGTGGTTGGTGCCCATCAGGCAGTTTCTGCTGATGGAGTGCATAGTCTCTCCTCATCCAACGTGCTCCTTTACTGTAAAGAATTATCTGGCCCAAACATCAATGGTGCAGAGGTTCAGAAACCACAGTTTAAGTAAGTAAAGTGGTTATATTGTTGCTTGTTTATTGGCAGCAGTAATTTTTTATGCAGCTCCTCAAGGAGGTTGTTAAAATTCTGTCTGATGTGAAATCTATACGTAGACTCGTGACCGAAGGGAGGGCACTCACTGCTTCATTGAGGGCTACTCAGTGTGACAGTTCGGTACAATGACTGGTGGGATTGATAGTGCAGTGACCGCCCGAGATCTGGGCAGGTCGTGTTGTCTCATTCAGCGTCTCAGACGAAATCAACATGAGAGGTGCACTCACCAGCCAAATCAGGCCTGGCAGGTTGGAGCAGGCGCAGCGTGTTCTTGAATTGCCATGTGAGATACAGTGTGGAACGGGACCCATCCCCTTAGGCCTTTTCATTATACACTTCAAAGTAGAGATCACCTGGGGACCCAATCTCATGCAGCAAGACGAGAGACTAACGAAGACACTAGTCCTCAGCCCATCTGATTCTGCCACTTGTTCTGTGACCTCAGGCAGGTCAGCCAGCCTCAGGCATTGTCCTAACCTCTGAGTAACTCCTAGCACTAGAATGCTCTGGAGACTATCTATGGTCAGTTTCTGTTCACCTGAAAATTGGACCAGAATGTTATTTATCATTTCAAAATTACTTTCTTCTGCTATAGTGTTTGAAAGACTATTTGCATGAGTCTAGGTGTATCTCTTTTGGGTAAATTGAGAAGGAAAAGCTCTTTGGAGCTTTAGTTCTCGAGGTGAAAGGTGAAAAATTGGAGCTAACCCTGAGTGCTGCTCACAGGCAGGCAGGTGTCATTCTGCATGATACTTCATGTGTATCTGTGTGTGGAAGAGAATGAGACCCACCGAGGTGTTCATGACTGCCAAGGCTCCGAGACACACATACACCACAGCTGCGGTATGCTCTGCAGCTCTCGTACTCGTGGGGCACGGGTTAAGTCACAGCACAGTGACGTTTCCCACGAAGCAGTAAAGGACACATTTTGTGTAGCAGTAGGCAGTGCTGCGATGAAGCTAGGGCCTGTGAAACGACATCCCGTGAGGGAGCTGCAGACTTGTCCTCTCACTGCCATCCCGCTGTTCCAGCGAGTATCCACGTGGACCAGGCATGCGACCACATGTCTCTCCCGAGCCCCTAAACAGCCCTAGAAGGTAGGACTCCACAGAAGTCAGTTCATTATCGAGTCATGTTGCTGTTGGAAAGGTTGGGGGAGACAGGAGCCCCATGTTTCAGACCTCAGCCTACCATCTTCCCTCTTTAAAACAGGGAAGCAGGGGAGGTGGTAGTGGGCAGGAAGCTGAGTGTCATGACCCCCGCGCCCATTCAGCCAGCAGATGAATGCAGGTGACTCGTCAGAGGTCACCAGTGACCCCTTTCCATGGCGTTTGTCTGTAGTCTGACAGTTGGGATTTTCAAGTATTATATACATTAACTGATAGTGCTTACACAGAAGCAGGGTTAACCGGCAGGACAAGTCCTTATTTTCTCTCCTTGGCAGCTATCTTAGGGAAGTCACTGAATTTTGAGTTTGATTATTAGACAGTTCATGGCTTTTAGTAGAAATAGAAGGTCTTACAAAATGCTGTCAATTGCCTGTTTCTGGTTAATAACTGCTAACTACTCTGTAGGGGAAGGGTTGTTTGGGTCTTCCTGGAAATTGTAAGGCTCCAGAGTTCTGAAAGCTCAGAGAACAGCATGAAAACATCCGGAAAGAGCGGGTGGGTCACGTACGTGGGTGTGTTTGTTTTCTCATGTTTGTCTTTCCTTTTCCTTCACCCCCAGTGGTATAATAGGGGAACGCCTGCCGATTAGGTATTACCTAACCTTCGGGATGCTCGCCAGCGGAGCCTTTACAGCCCTGTTTGGATTGGGGTATTTCTATAATATCCACAACTTGGGATTCTACGTGGTGACTCAGGTAAGGGTTTAGGTCCATGGCTCACTGAACAGGATGGGGTGTTGATTCACAGAACCACGCCTCTGTCAACAGAGAAGACACAGGTGAAGGGAGAAGGCGGAACTGCCCCGCCCGAGGTCAGGGTGAGCTGGCATGTCAAGTCCCTCCTCTCTCTTCTCTCAACTCCCAGCAGCCAGGAGACTTTCCTGTTTCAGAGTGGCCTCTGAGAATCCTGTGGTCCATGAAGTCACCCTGTCTTCATCTGGATGAGTCTGAGATGTTCTATCTTGTGACATGTGTGACTGCTCAGAGCTGGGGAGGGGGCTGTTACTGGCTGGGCCCATAGCTGGAGTCACACCAAAAGCAGTGGCAGGGGAGTTCCCACCGGAGAGTATCCCAGACCATGCTGAGCTGGGGCCAGGTAGGTTTTGAAAGAAAGACCTACTAAATGCCAGTAGGTCCCATCCCAAGTGCTTATTAGAGGAGCTTACATAGACGGGAGCTGCAGCTGGTCCTCAGACAGCCAGATAGGGATGTCCTACCCCCTATGTCCACCGTGTCCACTCAGAGCCCCATATGAGCTGATCTGAGGGTTTGAGGAATTTAGCTCAGGGCCAGGGCTGGCTCCTTTCAGTGTTTTCCGTGCTTGGGTGTGTTCAGCCCCAGCTGGTGGTCAACCCTGCAAGGGGAACAAGCCGCTGGCCTAGCTACTGAGCAGCCATGGCACTTGGCATTTCTCAGGACACAGGAAAGAATAGGGGCACTGGGGACCCTACAGAGGGCTGTGGTTGTGACCAGGTAGAAGGAAGGGCTGGCTTTGGGGTCTTTAGTAACACAGTGGGGAGGGAGGGGTGTCCTGGAGGTACCAGAGGAGAAAGGCCCAAAGGCCCACTGGAGAGCAGCTTTGTGGATAAATGTAGACTAGGATGGAAATTGACTGAGAGCCACGATACTCAGTTCTTGTCTTGTGATCCTTCTGAAGCTCTCCAAGTAGCCTAAGGGATGTTGTTATAAAACCATCAAAGCAAACTGTATTTCAGTTTGCTTTTCAAGATTTTGCCTTAACTTTTGAAAAAGTTTGGCTGTTTTAATTGTAAAAGTGATTTGCACTAGTATAATAATATGAAGAATTAGAAGGAAGGAGAAAACAGTTTCCCAGAGTCCCAGCATATTCATGGAGTGAAGGCCAAGCCTGGTTGGTCCAGAGGTGGCCAGAGGGAGACCAGCAACTCCCAGCATCTCCTGACGGTTCAGTGCCAGCGAGACTGGCAGAACTGGGCTAGACTCCGTTCCACGTGCCATGCAGTTCCTCTCTCTTCTCAGACACTAAAGCAAACCTATTCACCAACAAGGGTCTTCAACAAGGGTGTGGAAATCACACATTATGAAAAATCCATACATGGATTTCAATTCTTTCTGTACCAAAATTAGTGCATGCTTCAATTCCATTTTTCTGCAAACTCCTTTGAATAGTTTATCCCATGAGTGAGAGAAATAGAAAATCAGAAGAGAGAGCATAGCTCTCCACCAGGGTCCTAACACCTCAGTCTGCCTCCAGCCTCAGCCAGCCAAGGCCCTGAACACTGGGGTACCTGGTGTACTTAGAGAAGTCTCTGGATTTGAACCAGCAACGTTCCCATGTGCTCAGCCTCACAGAATCTCACATTTTCCTGCTCTACCAATCATCCACTGCCTCCGTGAACTTTGTCTTTTTTTTTTTTTTTTTGAAGAGGTTTTTGCTACAGGGCACATGTGCTGGCCAGAAAGACAGAGAAGACAGAGATAGAAAGTGAGAAATTACCCCCCCAGGGGATGGCCACGCCACAACTCCTTCTCCTCCATTCTCCTCTCGGGATCTTGGGCACACATGCACACATACTCGGCGTGAGTTTAAGCTACTGGGTTTGGGACTCAAACCGTGGTCGACCACATGGGAGTCCAGTGACATAGCCATTATGCCATCTGCTGGTCCCCGTCCGTGAATTTTTTGAAGCCCCCTCAAGTATGCCTTTTTTAAATAGAAGTCCCTTCTTAAAACTCAACTGAGGATATTTTGAAAAGCACAGAAATAGTCTCCAGGTGCTATGTTAAGGTGGTGTTTATCTCAGAATACGACAGTCATGCATGGCACAGTAAGAGAAAACATGCAAATCACAAGCCATAACTACAGTACAATTCCATAAACAGTTCTAGAGAAAGAAAGGTCTTCTCTCTCTATACTGATCTTAGACTTGTAGGAGACTGGGAAGCCTGGCCCCAAGATGTTAGTAGACATTGTCTCCTGGTAATGGAGTCCTAGCTAGGTATTGTTTTATTTTCTTTGTTTTTCTTATGCGTTACTTTTAGTATTTTTTTAAAGTGTATATTTACAAATGTATATAAGTGAGTATATGTAGGTGTGTGTGTATAGATATATATATAGAGAGAGAGAGAGAAAGAGAGATACACTTTTTTTTTCCTTTAGGTTTTTGCCATAGGGCACAATGTGCTCTCTAGAGAGAGAAAGAGAGAGGGAAAGTGAGAAATCCCTCCCCAAGGGGGGGGTGGCCACACTTCAGTCCCTTCTCCATTCTCCTCTAGGGATTTTGGGCACACATGTACATGTGCCTGACGTAATTTTTCAAGCTGCTTGGTCTGGGGCTTGAACCGTGGACAGCCATGTAAGAGTTCAGCTCCCTAACTACCATGCCACCTGCTGGCCCCTACTTCATAAAATATAAATATAAAGTGTATCTGTGGTGCTGAGGCTCTCCTAAAAGCCTCTGCGTGTGGGAGGCTCAGCAATGCTCCCAGACTTCAGGACAGAGGCGCGAGCCTGTGAACCGCCCAAGGGGACTCTCAGGCTCGTGTTCTCCACTAGGTGAGTCCTCTCTCTGTCCCTCCCACAGGTCATCAACGGGCTGGTGCAGACCACTGGCTGGCCCAGCGTCGTCACCTGCCTCGGCAACTGGTTTGGGAAAGGAAGGTGAGAGAAGCAGCTCTCTCCAACTGCTCTTATTCTTTAACAGATTCTGACGAAAAGCAAACCACTTTGTTTTTAGTTCTTTAGATTCATTACAAGCCAAATCCTTTAACTGGTCTCCTGAAAATCAGGTGGTTGAAGCTGTTGCAGGGTGGCTTCTTTGATGATATCCAGGTTCTTAGTGTTTTGGATGACGAATTTAATGATTCACACCAACAGTGAAAGGAAAGGTAGTTTATTAAGTAAAAATGAAATTACCCTCCTGAGAGGTAGGAGCAAGCCTGAGTGGACAGAGAAAGAGTGGCTCAAAAGACCCCAGCAGTTACATGTTATGGTTTTTGTCATAGGACATATGTACTTGCCAGAGAGACAGAGAGAAAGTGAGAAATCACCCCTGAGGGGGGTCCATGTGCAATCCCTTCTTCTCCATTCTCCTCCCAGGATTTTGGCATGCATGTACATGCACCTGGTGTGAGTTTCAAGCTGCTGGATTTGGGACTCAAACCACAGTCGGCCATCTGGAAGTCCAGCACCTTAACCACACGCCACCTGCTGGCCTCAAGGTTATAATTTTTTATCTAGGTTGTGCCAGTTAATCATTGACTGGATGCACTGATTGTTGTCATCTCACTGGCCCTATCAAATGTGGCTGGGCCCACTGATTCATCTCATTGGCTATATGAAATGTGGCTTAATCAGCTAGACATCCCTCACTAATCTCCCACCTACATTACCTTGGATGGGGAATTTTCTGCCCTGATCAGTTTTTCTATCTAACCATAGAGGCAAACTCTCCAGAACCCATATCTGCTTCTATTTGCTAGTTTTCTCCTGCCTCAAAATCTCAGGGTCTGAGGTTCTGATTTTTGCAGTACACCCTGTGTCGTGGACAGGTCCAGTCTGTGTTACTGGCACTGTACCTTTGACCATCACATCGGCCTCACTTGGCCTCCTGGAGGACACCACATCTAGTGTCCCAGCCCTGGCCTTCTGGAACAGAAGCTGCATTTTAAGGGGAAATATGACAAGTCTCGACCTAGCTCACGGAGTATGCAGGGACAGAGCTGGGATTCAGCCTCTGGGGGGTTTGACAACAGTCCAGATTGACTTAGCGAAGTCTGTGTGAAGGCTCAGCCCAGCCAGGCCAGAGGGCAAGGCCTATGGAAGACACCAGACAAGGCGGGGAAGCTAAAATAGGACGCACACTCCCTGAGCCTTATTTAGATATTGCTTCGTTCATCTGCTGTGGGCATCAGCGAGCGCTTCTGTTCACATGACGGTTCACCAGCTGACTGTATTTAGACTGTGGAGGCACACATTTAAATTTCGAGCCTTCCAAGAATTTCAGAAGAGGGCCTCATTCCTTCCTCTTTAATTGTAGAATAAGTAAGCTCAGAGAGAGAAACAGAATGCGTGATGAGACAGCCCAAGGCAAAATACAAATCCATTCCTTGTAAACCTCTCGCAGACACAGTGTCTACGCGCCTATTTCCGTACTTCTACTCTAGTTCTTCCACGTTGCAGGCACTGCTGTGGCTCATTTAAGATTCTCATCTAAGGCACTGGACTCCCACATGGCCAACATCAGTTCGAGTCCCACACCTGGAGGTTTGAAAATCACGCTGGGCACGTGCCAAAATCCCAAAAGGAGAATGAAGGGGAAGGGATTTTAACATGGCCATATCCCTCGGGGGTGATTTCTCTCTGTCTCTCTCTGTCTCTCTGGCAAGTACAGGCACCCCATAGCAAAAACCTTTACAAAAAAGATTCTCATCTAGGCTTCTCAGCACCATTTACCATCTTGTGCTTTGTGTGTCGCAGGCGAGGTCTGATCATGGGGCTCTGGAATTCCCACACCTCCGTGGGCAACATCTTGGGCTCCTTGATTGCTGGCTACTGGGTGTCCACATGCTGGGGCCTGTCCTTCATCGTGCCGGGGGCCATCGTGGCAGCCATGGGGATAGTGTGCTTTCTCTTTCTCATTGAACGTAAGTACACGTGGCCTAAGAGAGGGCTCTGTTTCTGTTTTCCCCAGGGGGTTGGGAGGTGCATTAGGAGAATGGGCTCTTTTCCTCTGCTGGTTCCTGGCACCGGGAGCCTGGCCCTTCTGCCTCCCCAGGTGTTCTTTACACACCAGTCTCCCGGAGAACAATGTGCTCCTCTTCACTGGTGCTTGGGCCCCCTGGTTACATCCTGCTCAGGTCCAGAGTCCACTCTCTTTTATTCTCTTCCTCAATGATATGGGGTTGGGTCTGGGGGAGGAGGAATTATGATGACAAATGCCATACGTGGCGGCTGGCAATAAACCAGTTTGCCATCTGGAACCTTAGCCCTGTGTCCACTCAGCTCAGTGATTAAGCATGAGGCGTGGTCCCCAGTCAGGACAAGGCTTCCAAGAACCACCAGGCTCTGTGCGGGCTTTTGTAACAAAATCAGAGCCACCACTTGGGTGGCTTCTGACAGTCAGAACGGGGGCCCCTCCCTGCCCTGCTGGTTACTGGTGTGGCCCCTGGGTACCATTTCCCTCCCCTCACCCTCCTCTGGGTCAGGGAGGTGGGTACCTTGGTTCCCCAGGACGTTTACTCACTCAGGGGTCAGGTGACCCCTCAGAGCTTGCTCTGTACAGCCAGGTTTGCAGCTCTGTGAGGAAAGTCTCAGGGACTCCTGGGGCGCCCAGAGGGAGGCCCAGCTGCTGTTCTCTGCTCCTTTTTCTGTGGTCTCACTTGTTTTTTTCTTACACACAGTATTAGCCTATTATCATTCCTGATAAATAGTATTTGCCTAGCAAAATATACAGATATATTTAAGATTTTACAGGATCCTCACTACTCACTGTTCCTACTCACAGCAGCATCAGAAATTCCTTCTCACCACTCCTCCTTCCATCCCCCTCCCACACCTCACCTTGTCCTTCTGCATCATCCATGGTTCATGCCAGTCCCCAGCAGGCCCTTGGTCACCCCAGTTGTCTCACTAGCCACTTCCCGGTCCTCTCTCTCACTCGCCTCTCACAGTGCTTCCCTAGGACACTCATCTCCCTCCAGACCCAGAGCGCCCACCCTGCTCCTGCTCCTGCCCCCGCCCTCCTCCTGCAAAGGCCGTCCCCAGGGCTGGCTTGAGGCCCCAGGTGCCTTCTGGCTTGGTCTGTCTGCTTTTCCTCTGGCCGCAGATGTCCCCATGCAGCCCCTGATGCTGGGTGCCTGCACTTGGTATAGGACAGGCCTCTGAGGTCACATTCACCCTCTTTGTTAAAATATCAGGTTGGCTTTACTCCCTGCCTCGGCCTCAAGGCCACCCTCCAGACTCTCCTAAGGATCAGCAAGCCCTGCTCTGTGCTGATTGTCCTTCCTGGGTCACACTGGACTGTGTCCAGAGTGGGCAGGGATGGCTACCCCACACTGAATCCCAGTGCTAGGCCTTGGGCATTCCTCACCTGCCCAAAGCAGAGGGACTTCTCTAGGGTGTGCAGAGGCTTCCCCAGGTCAGAGCTGGCACGTGGCCTACTGTGCCACCTCACCCATGCCGACTTCCTGATTTCAGCCATGAACACCTTGGGTCCTAGGGCTCTGTTCCCATGAGTTTAATTAAGTTTTAAAAATTATATAATATTTTAAAAAGCAAAATGTGTCAGTTGTAAATCTTGTTTTCTCTTACAGAGAGAAAATGCATTTACATGTATTTTTCTCCAATAGTTGTTTAGTTTCTTAGCGTTTCTCAAACCCAGGTCCCAGGAACCTTTCCTGGAGACTGTGAGCACTCTGTCCCTCCAGAGCTGAGCAGCACTCAGGTTTGAGAAACACTGCCGTCAGCACCTTCTCAGCGCTGTCGTTCTGTCTCGTCTGAGCCCTTACCATCTGGTTTCCTCCCGATTAGATTGGCACATAGCCCACTGGTCCTTGGTGACGTGACTCCCAGCCCTCATGGGCCACTGTCTGAGGCACAGCCCATCACATTATGCCTCAGCCCAGCCCCTAATCTTGCCACCAGCAGAGGGCAGACTTTCTTTCTTGCTCCTTCACTCCGCCCTCCCACCCAGGGCTAGGTCCACAGGATGCGGTGCCCACCGCCCCCGCCCCCATATTCTCAGCCTCTCTGGGTCTACACTGTGAAGCCCCCTCAGACATGTCCTAGCTATAGGTCATGTGTGCACATGTCCTTTGAGGTAGAAGCCCAAGAAGAGCCACACAGTGGGGCCTGGCCAAGCCTCATGAAGCATGAGCACCCTGGCTCACCCCTGGGGGTGTCACAGCCTGACAGAGACCTGCAGATGAGCTGGCTAGTGTGACATACCTCGCAGGTAGACCACTGAGCCCTCCCAGGGCACCCACTACATGCGCCTGGTCAGTGGCCTCAGCTCATGGGCCACGCCTAGAGAAGGTGGCAGAACCCTGTGAAGTGTGGCTGTGGGGCTCTGGGCGCCCGCCTACCTTGCGTATGGCATGGAGGGGGAATCTCCACTTGGCAGGCTTGTGCTTGGCTCGTGCGTGCTTGGCACGTACATGCTCCCTCTACAGCCATCCTGTGTCATGCAGGAGGGACACGTGAAGCCTGCAGCTCAGTGTGTTTCCAGGCAGTGAACTGTTTTCTCAAAGGTGATCAAAAGACTCATGCTCTGGGTGGTGGGGAGGCAAGGAGGAAGGGTGTTTAGAGAGGCAGCTTGCCTTCCGGAGCCTGCAGACACCACTGAGGTTCATTTCTGCCAGCGCCAGGGGCTCCAAGCCTCACTGTTGGCTCCACGCTGCGCAGTCACAGGCTGAAGTAATGAGAAGCCTAGTTCTGGTGTTCTGTCCACTTTTCCTCCCTTCCTTGCATCTACATAAAGACATGTTATTCTATATCAAGATGCACATTTTGTCTCCACTAGCAATTTTTTTCTTTTTCTTTTTGGTACTAGAGAACATCTGAGCTCACCAGAGAGAGAAAAAAGAGACAGAAACCATTCCCCAAAGGGGCATGGTCAAGCCCTTACCCCTTCTCCTTCATTTTTCCATCCCAGCAGGATTTTGTGCACGCATGCACACCACATGCACACCTGCTGGGGCCAGGATTTGACCCTTAGCTGAACATGTGAGGTCAGCCCCCTGTGCAGTGCTCAATGGCTACGATGGTGCTGGCCCGCCACTAGCTTTTATTTCTAATGAATTGCAAAGGTTATTCTAACCTCACCCTTCTGATGCACTTTTCATATTTGTGTATTTCCTTCTATACTTTTTTTCTTTTAAATGTGTACCACGTGGCCTGTCAACACAGTCAACACAGTAGACTTCTGTGCTGCTTGTGTTTATTTACCACGTAGTGCATAGTCTCCATAGTCAAAGCGGTGCTCATGTTCCTTCTTACATTTGTTGACGGTGCTCTGCTGTAGCCTTAGACACACGGGCTGGCAGTTGGAAGGGAGGGCCATGTGGGCCATGCAGGGATGGCTGAGCACTGTCCTCACCCCACCAGGTGTGTAGCCTTGGTTAATTAAGTCTTTTTCTTAAACTAATGCTAATTTAGTAAAAGTATAAGGTGGTACCTTGTTTCTTTTTAAAGTAAATGTTGTTGGACCTGGTCCAGTGTTCTAGTAGATAAGGGAACTAGATCCCATGTGGCAGATCACAGTTCTAATCCTAGCCCCAGCAGCTTGAAAAATACATGGGGGTTCAGACATTTGGTGTATGTGCTTGGCTGAGGAGCCAATGGGGCGAAGCTACCATCTGTGGGATTATTACTGAACACCTCTAAGTCAGAATCCCGCCCAGGCGGAACGCGCCGGCGGGCCGTCGGGCGCGCTCCGGCGCGTGCGGCGCGCCCCGCCGCGCGTCGGGACCGGGGTCCGGTGCGGAGAGCCCTTCGTCCCGGGAGCCGGGATGCGGCCGGAAAGGGGGCCGCTCCCTCGCCCGTCACCCAACGCACGTTCGTGGGGAAACCTGGTGCTAAACCATTCGTAGACGACCTGCTTCTGGGTCGGGGTTTCGTACGTAGCAGAGCAGCTCCCTCGCTGCGATCTATTGAGAGTCAGCCCTCGACACAAGGATTTGTAAAATAAAAAATAAAAAAGGAAAAAAAAAATAAAAATACATGGGGCACAGGTGCATGCATGCCCAAATCCCGACAGGCTGGAGAAATGGAGGGGCTGTGGTGTGACCTTACCACACCCAGGTGGGGCTACTATATCCCTCTTTCTCTTACTGTCTCTCTCTGACAAGCACACACACCCTCTGGCAACAACAAAAAAAATCGTTTTGTGTTTATTATGCATACAACATGATGTTGTGGGAGACAGATAGACAGTAAAAAGCAAATTAACATATCCATCAACGCGTGGGAGGCATATAGGCAGTAAAAAGCAAATTAACATATCCATCAACTCAGTTCCCATTTATTTGTTTTGGTGGCAAGGGAGGCTAAACCCACACACTTAGTGTGAATGCCAGGTAGGATATGGTGCTACTACCCCTAGTCCTCATGACACGCACTTGACCTTTAGATTTGAAGGGTCCCGTTATCTTGATTTCACCTGCCATGTGGGTGGGAGTGCTGAGCATTGCACTCACATTGTTGCATGTTTGCTGTTTCAGACCCGAAGGACATCAAGTGCTCCTCCACCCTGCCCACGGTAAGCCCTGCTCCCCTGGTCTTTCTTGTCTCCTGTAGCAGTGTGTTGCTTGCTGCCTGTTGGAATGACTCCCCAGCCTGGTCCTTCTGTGTGGGGTCAGTGGGAAACAAAGGAAATGGGGCCACAGGTCCAACCCTCACATACTAGCAGTTCTAGGAAAGGGTGGGTAATCCCTTATTACCTAATACCCAGACAAGAAGTTTGGTGCAGTCCAGAGTCAGCACTTGGGCAATGGGGGTGACCAGAGGTCAGGTCACCTGGCCAAGCCTCCCCAGGAGTGGAACCTCCTTGTCTTCTCTGGGTGGCCTTGGTGGG